CACAGAGAGAGAGAGAGAGAGAGAGAGAGAGAGAGAGAGAGAGAGAGAGGATGCTGGACTGTGGTTGGAGGTGACCAAGAAGCGCGGGGAGGAGGGTGGCGGTTTCAGGCACACACCACACAAACAAGGACAGACTCCCCAGGGGTGGATCTGTGATGGGGAAATATGCACTGTCAAATATAATAAAAATTAATCATCCCAGTCGGCATCTCACTTCTGCAATCTGTGAGATATGCTAGCCGCATCGGCAGTGGGTGGTGGCAATTTACGGACCGTGACAGCCGATGCTACACGGGTGGACTGTCGGGGTTCAACCTCCTGATGAGTCGGTGAAAGTCCGACGAAACAGTCTGGGATGGTCATCCGGTTCTTTGTGGAGTTGTGTATCGCAAACATCAGAGCACATGCATACACACACATGCAAAAACAAGATCTGACCACTTGTCTTCCATCACCCTCAGCCTCTTATTACTTGCCTGATGTGACATTGTGGCCTCGACATGCGATGCGTAGAATAACTGCGAACATGTGCCTGCTTTCCTGCTGGCATATCAGCAACATGCCATGAATCATCAATGTTTTCAGCAGGCTGTCATGGAGAGTATGTGCTTCTATTGCATGGACTATCCCCAATGCCATCGTGCAGCACATCCTGTCTGTTCATGTCCCACATGTAGCGTTGGGTATCCTCCAGATGGATGCAGCACCCATAATCAGACCCTCTCTCCATGCTTGCCAGATGAGGAACGGACGCAGCAGCCTGAGGTGCAGAATTGACTCCCATATGTTACATCTTCGACGCCACAAGGGTCCTACCGGACCCGACTTAGGGTTAGAGAGACACAATAGGGCCTAAAGGCCCGACCTTGGGGGTACTACAGGCCGTAAAGGCCTCACCTTGGACCAGACCCGACAGGCAGGCCCAAACGACATTTCCGTTTGGGCCTGGCGGCGCTCTTGAGGCTGCCGCCCGCCGGTCGGGGCTGAACCGTCCATCTTGACGGTTCAGGGCACGGCCAGGCCTCGCAGCATTGAGGCCGGCCTCTGCCCCACCGGTACAAAAGTACCGGTCCAGCCTCATTCAGGCTATCGACCCACTGGCACTCTAACGGTGCGGTATGGTACCGCGCGAACAGCGCTGGCGCTATACTTAGCGCAGGAGCACGAGGAACAGCGGCCGCAGCAGCATTAGCGCAGCAGCAGCAGCAGCGGCGACTGGGCGTATCGGCGGCCATAGCCCCCTGAGGTATCGGGAGTCGGAGGTTTCTCTCCTCGCTCCCATCGCCAGTCCCCTCTCTCTCTCTCTCCTCCTCGGCTCCCTTCTTCTTCTTCTTCTTCTTCTTCTTCTTCTTCTTCTCTTCAGACTTCTTCTTCTTCTTCTTCTTCTTCTTCTTCTTCTTCTTCTTCTTCTTCTTCTTCTTCTTCTTCTTCTTCAGACTGGAGACTTATACTTGTTGGAGAGAGATCAGAGTTGGACTTCGGTGGTAAGAAGCTGTGGTACTTACCGGATTCGAGACTTGGAGATTGTTGGGGACGATACTCGGCTGCATCACAGATTTGACACCGGTTACATTAGGACTCTGTATCTCCGACATTGGTGACTTATTGTCCTTGACATTTTGATCTTGTTCGATGACATTTTGGATTACCATATCGGTGACCTACTGGTTTCTATCTCGGTGACATTTGGTGCTACCTACAGCTCCCACCTCCTTCGTCTCTCCTCCCACCTTCATCTGTGCATGTGTGTACGGGGTTGAGCATCGTCCATGTATGGCTCAGAACCCACCATCTCACGATTGTATGTGTGTGGAGTGATATCTATGTGAGTCAGTCTATGTGAGTCAGTCCGTTTATCAGACTTCCGCTGCATATATGCTCATCCTACATTGGTTGATCTTTGGTTCTGCCCATGCTCATTGAAGTATGTAACAGTTTTGGTA